GTAAACTAGTACCGCCTTTATGGAAAAACCGATGCAAGGTCCTTAGAAAATCTGAACTAGAACTACTGTACCAGATAGTAATCTCACTACTGAGTATATATCCAAAAGAAAAGGAGTTAGTATATTGAAGGGGCATCTGTTGTATTTGAAGCACTAGTCATAACAGCCAAAATATAGACTTAACCTAAATGTTTACCAATAGATGAATAAGGAAAAGTGGCCTATATACACAATTAAATCTTATTCAACCATAAAAAGTGACAGTACAGATGAACCTGCAACACATCTGATTCTTTTTTTAAATACTTTATTATTTTTATTTTAGTGTATGAGTGTATTGCCTGCATGTAAGTGCACCCATGTCATGCACTGCCCATGGAGGTCAGAGGAAGGTGTTAGATTCCCCTGGAACTGCTTGTCAGCTGCCATGTGGGTGCTAGGAATTGAACCTGGGTCCTCTTCAAGAGCAGCCGGTGCTCTTAACCGCTGAGCTATCTCTCCAGCTCCTGGACATCTGATTCCTTTTGAGATTAAATTTAAATTATCTCTTTACCCATTTCATAGAATTCATCTGTATCCTGACCTCTCAACCCTGGGGAAGCCAGGCAAGTTGGCACTGCAGGGCCTGACTAGTGTTTCCAAAGCAGGTTTGTAAACAGACCTGACCCTATGGGACCAGAGAGCTGGAGCCTTCCCACGAGACAGCATGTAACTACCTCAGAAGGCAGGCCCAAGATCCACCCACCCCCAATGGAAACCCTTAGTTGGGGCCCAGGAGCCAGCACCTGCTGCAGCCCAGAGCAAGCCAGCTCCCTCCAGAGGGAAGAAACCATGGGGTTAGAGAAACAACCATCTCAGGACTTGTGTGTCAGGAACCACTTTAAACTCTTCATGCAGGTTGTGGTGGTTAATGTCAAGTTGACAGAATCTAGATCCTAGGAGACAAGTCTCTGGGTGTGCCTGTGAGGGAGTTTCTAGACTGGGATGACTGAAGTGGAAAGACCCATCCTGAATGTGGGTGATACCATCCTATGGGCTGGGGTCTTAGACTGAGTGAAAAAAAGAGCTGCCAGGCATGGCACTCAGGAGGCAGAAGCAGGTAGATCTCTGTGAGGTGGAGGTCAGCCTGGTCTATATAGCAAGCTCCAGACCAGCTGGGGTTACAGGGAGACCCTGTCTCAAAAAGACCAAATTTTTTTTTTTAAAGGAGAAAGCAAATTGAGCATCTCTCTGCTTCCTGAGTGGGGATGCGGTGTGATCAGCTGCCCCACAGGCCTGCCTTCTCCACCATGAAGAACTATCTTCTCAAACTACAAGTTCAAATAAACCTTGCCTTCCTTGACTTTCTTTGGTGTTTTGCCACAAGTGCTATTTAAGTCACAGCCATCGTTAAAGGCAGGACTATGGCTTTTCTGTTTATTGGATGAAATACCTGAAGCAGAGAGTGGTTAAAATAATCTGTCCAAGGTCACAAAACAGGTGGCCCAAATAGGATTTGCACTCAAGCACCCTGGCGTGCAGAGTTGTGTTCCTACTGGCCAGTTGGACAGCCCCTTAACAAGTCAAGAGAAAACAGAAGCCTTCTACTGGTGGAAGTTAAGGAGTTCCTGAGCAAAAGTGAGGTTACAGAATACCTCCTTGGCAGTGTGACCTCACAGAGGCCAGGGCATAGTAGGCATGCCCTGTCTGCTCCTCGCTGTCCTGGGGGCTGATCTAGAGAGACTGAGGAGGGATCCCAACCTGGGTCTGGCACCCATAGAACATACCCATAGAGTCTGAAGGTACAGAATGGAAATTATCCCTTTCTGAACTCACTGCACTTCAGAGACCCATCAGCAGAGCACAGGATCTCCTGAGCAGCACTGGAGAGCGGCACCACCCAAGGGAGCATGCCAGGAGAGGACGCCTTGTCATTCTGGGACCCCCAAGGCTGGAACAACCCTGGCGTGGAAGGACATCCTGATTGGACACGGCTGTCCGATGATGTGGCTGCATCCCAGTGGTCTCTTCCAGGGAGGCTTTGACCCCAGGGGACAGTAGGTGCTGCCTGAGGACACTTCTGGTTGTCACACTGGGGAATTCTACTGGCCTCCTTCGGTAGAGGCCAGGGATGCTACTGAGACCTCCCAAAAGTGAACACAGAGTGGGTGGAAGTCCAGTCTCCAGTTGTGGCCATAGCGTGGTCCAGGACAGAGTGGGCCAGCAGGATTCAACAAAGTAAAAACAAGAACTTCGGGGCTTTGTGACTGAGGGTTGAGGCTATCCCCACGGTGATGCCCGTTCATCTTATCAACAGACCATCCGAAGAAAGGGCAGTCCATGTTCCACACCAGGCCAAGTATGATCACATATACAACAGAACTCATCCAGTTTCACCCTGATCATGAGCACGCCACTGCCTGTCCATTACATCTACTTGACTTTTTGTTTTTGTTTTACTGTTTTTGTTTTGAAACAGTCTCATATAGCCCAGGCTGGCTTTGAGCTTGATATGTAGTCGAGGATGACCTTGACCTCCTGACTTTCCTGACTGCACCTCCCAAGGACTGAAATTACAGGTGAGGCTGATTTTTTTTTTTTTAATTAAGAATTCAAGTTTGGTTCAGGTCAGTCGTTGAGGACACTGATGGGAGGTCTGCCCTTCCTCTCTGCCCACAGCAGGCTGCCCAAATAGGGGCAGGCTGTTTGTAAGCATAATACTCACCAAGGAGTAGAGGAGGCGGGTGTGGTTCCGGAGCCCGGGGTCCTCTCGCTGCAGGTCGTCAAAGCCCATCTTCACCAGCACGGTCACATTGTACCAGCTCCCCAGGCCTTTCTCTGCACCTAGATGGCAGATGCTGAGGTTACAACCTCCGGCACAGGGCAGGGCCACAGAGTAGTCAGCAGGCCTGGAAGGCAGGAGGCCACCGTTCTGTGTGTACCTCCCTGATTCCTCTCCTTCCTGAGGCTACAAAGTCCACCAGCTCCTACCTGTCATGGGCCAAAGACCAGGGAGCCAAAGCCAGCACCTTCCCTTGAAGAGTTACACCTGGGATGCGTTCCAGCCTAGTGCTCTAGACACAGTGTCACGTTGCCCTGGTGTGTAAAATCAGGGTCCACCCACTACCGCTTCTTCATGCTGATACAAAGTAGTGTGATACACAGTGCTCTATGTAAGAGAGTATGGGCTCTGTTAGATATGCCATACCGTAGAGTTGGATAGTGCAAATACTTGACACTTTATCAATATATGATGCTATTCACGATGGCTACTGTAATGTGTACTGCTTATAACATTCACACCCACAGTCTGTTCAGTTACCCCTCAGCATCAGTGAGTGTGGGTTTCAGGACTCCCTGGAGACCCCAAAATCTACAAATGCTCAAGACCTTCCTGGAAAGTGGGGGGCAGAGGGATGGTACGTAACTACGGACTTCCTCCCAAACGCTCTAATCTTCTCTAGATGGTTTACACGCCCAGTGCAAGGCAAACGCTTGTAAGTCAGTTATATAGATTGCTTAGGGAATGATGATTAAAACAAATGTCTCTATAGATCCAATGTGCCCACCGCGGGCCTACTGTACCCACATCAGCAACAAAACCACTTTTAACTACTTTGGATGCAGAACCTCTGTATATGGGGGCCCCGCTGCAGCTCAGGGATGTAATTGACGTAGATTTATATATCTAATGCTTGCTATTGCATATGCTATAACTTTATGGCTTTATCTATGCTAATAGGACAATATAGTATGTACACTATTGTGGGTGCAAATATATATACACACACACATTAGTATTCTGTATTTCTTTGGTTCTGAAAACTGGCCCAATCCTGCTCATGGTACAGCCCCTGAGCAGAGAAAACTTTCCAGACAAGTCAGGCCACCGGCAGGTGCTCTGAGCTTTGGAAGAAGAAGGTCAGGCTTTACCATATCTGTGGAGCAACCAGGCCTACGTGTCCCCCAGGGGCACAGCTCTGACAAGCCCACCTGCAGCTTCCAGGGCTTCCCAGTCTGGCAAAGGATCATGGCTCTGCTGCCAGGGCTGTCTTCCCATTCACTCTCTGAAGATGCTAGGGACCAGCTCTGGGGAAGGGCAGCCCCTGCCCAGGACCAGTTGCAGGCTCCCAAGAAAGTCATGACTGCTGTTTCTAGACAGCTCCCCCCAACCCCCACACATTTCCCCAGTCTAGGGACTCCCGAGACCCTCCTCGCTGCAGCCCTACCTGGGGGTGCGGCAGCTACACAGTGGTGGCCTTCTGACCAGGGACAGCACTTCTGAACTCCGGGACAGTCAGTGTCCAAGCTGCACGGTGAGCTGGGCGAAGCTGGCTCTGTTGTCGGGCACCCCCCGGGTCTCGATGCAAACTCCCCGGAACGATTCAGGGCTGGGGGGAGGAGACGAGTTAAGGATGTTGGCATTAAAAGAAGCAGCCTCAGCTGGCAGAGTACTTGCCTATAGGCATGAAGACCTGGGTTCAATCCCTAGCACCTAGTAAAACGGGGTGTGGCGGTACACACCTATAATCCCAGCACAGGCAGAAGGATCAGAGAAGTTCAAGGCCATCCTTGGCTAAATGGCAAGTTCAGAGTCAACTGGGATACATGAGACCCTCAAAAACCCAACAAAAGAGATATAGGAGGTGGCAGCCTGGGCGGGCTCGGAGGGCCGCATGCCCAGGGCTGATGCCACCTTCAGAGGCACCAGGCATCCTGTTCGGGGGTCTCTCCAGTGGGACAGAGGCTGGCCCTGGCCAGCCCTATTAGAGGCTCACTTGCACTGACTGGGACATCACTGGCCATCTTTCCCATCAGGGTGGGTTCTGGGGAGGGGGGTCCTAAGGGCTTCCTGACCCTCCAAGCCTCAGGGAGGCTCAGTCCGTCTTCTGGGACCCATGCTACTTCCGGTGCTTATCACTCACTCACTCACTGAGCACTCAGTAAAAGCTGATCCAGGCAGTGTCCCAGACTTAGTAACTGAATTCCAGAGGGGAACAGCATGCTGTGAACCTGTGGAAGGTGAGCAGGGTCAGATCCTCAGGGGTCAGGCAAGGCCAGGTGGGGTCAGGGAAGGCAGCCCTCTAGAGAGGGCTGCACCTGGCCTAGGGATGCCCACAGCAGGCCTGCATCCTCAGCTCTGAAGCAAGGGCCTGTGGGTCAAGGAGCAGGAGGAGCAAGTCCACGGGCTTGAGTGAAGACGGAGGGGTCGACCCACAGAGTCCCTTCTTGTAGGAGGGGCCCAGACACCTGGGGTCTCGTGGTAAGAGGGACACTCAGTGCCTTCAGATTCTCTACCCTGGCCAGCTCTGAGCCCCTTTCTCCCGTACTCCTCAGGCTACTGTGGGCACTAGAGCTGCCTGGAGTTTCACAGACAGCCTTCCCGGCTAGGGTCAGTACAATGATGGCACCACCTTCTCCTTTCCCTGCCCTCTGCTGCCCTGCTTCCTGCGGAAAAGCATCAGAGTAACTCATGGTAGAGGCTTCCGATTGCTGGGGAGTGATCTGGGAGGGGAGGGGCCTCAGAGAGAGATGCGGGACCTGATGGCAAGTTGCAGAGGGTCCCAGGGATAAGGCCGGGATGCTCACACAGAAGGGAAGGGATGTATGAGGAGGAGCCTCAGGAGGGCTGTGAGGCTGCTCTGGGTGCCCTCCTGACTCCCTCCTCACGGGTGGGAGGAAGGCAGGGGCAATGGTGTGCTGTGAGGTCAGCAGCCCTGGGAGGCCCTAGTCCAGCCATGAATGCAATCTGACGTGCTGCCGGATACCAGTGAGGAGAGGCCCAGCGTGGCACCCTGCTGCATCCACTCAAGAGGTTGACTGAGGTCAGTCAGCTTGGCTGCGGCTGCCTGGCCCCAGGGCTGTCCACACAGTGCTCTGTCAGTTCGCTGAACTCAGCTCCAGACAGAAGTGGGGCTGACAGAGAATGAAGGTGAACTGCTGCAGGGGCAGGAATGGTGGGCAAGGAGCCAGGGACAGCTGGGGTCACAAACAAGCCCTAGTGACCAGAACCTCAGCCAGGGCCCAGGGGAAGCCGTGGAGGGTTATCAGGGAGAACTGGTTTTAGATCTCTTAGAAAGGCCTGAAAGTACTTGTCCACAAGACCCACAGGGGAACTGACCAGGAGTCCAGGCTTGGCACTCTTCCGGGGTTAGAGAGCACACAATGAGAAACTTGAGCCCAGGGGGCGTGCTGGGGGAGACCTCGGGTAGGGGACAATGTGACATGCTGGCCAGACGCAGAGTCCCAGAGGAGCTTGTGGAACATCTAAGAAGGGGGAGCCAGCTTCGACCAGCCAGGGCCTGGTTCCCCAGGAGGAAGGAGGTTGGTGTAAGCATGGGGACGCGGTCAAAGGGGCGGGCACTGGAAGGGAAACGGAGCCCGTGTCAGCACCGGGGAAGGCAGGGGCACTTGGCAGCATCTGTGCCCAGCACCTAGTGATGGGCACCAGGGCACTGTGGGTGCCATTCAGACTTCTGCTCCTGCCCAGATGCATTCAAAGGAAATGCATCTACCAACGCCCCTCATGGTATTCAGCAGCACCACCATGTCAGGCCCCTCAAGTGCCAGGGACTTCAGACAACACCAGTTGATAAGTGTGTTCTGGAGACACCCCCACAGAGCAGGGGACCCTGGAGGGATGCAAAGGCAGTCTCAAGGGGCCACTGTCTCGGAGACAATCCTCTTGGGTCTCCAGAACTTGCTGTAGTTGATGAAAAGGGCCCGCTCCTGTTAGGAACACATCCCAAGAACAGCCAGAGCCAGGTTAGTGCACTGACTCTGCTCAGGAAAGCCTGAGCCTTGCGTCTTGCCAGTCAATTCATATTGTGGAAGTTCATGATCAGTAACACTGTCCTTTACTATTTCTCCTGGGCTTGTCCTTTATTTCCTCAGCATCTAGATAACTCTACAGCATCCTTAGGTCCAGGAGAAAGGACTGAGCTGGGAACTGGAGGCCTTCGCAGCCCCACAAGGGAATGAAGGATCTCTGTGCAGCCTGGGAGCCAAGAACAGGAAGCAGGTTCTTCTGCCACTGTGAACACCAAGGGCCTCAGGCCAAGCAGATGTGAGAGCAGATGGTAAGGTGGCCACAGAAAACAGAAACAACTGAGGGGTGGCAGAATCCCAATATAACATGAAGTCTGATGACTGACTGTGTTCTGGACTCTTGACTGGGCAAGCATACTCTAGTGACAGAGGATGCTGATGCTGGAAGAAACTGGCCTATAAGATCTTGGCATGCTTTCAGTGGACAATTTGAAATTTAAAAGATTTGCTGAAATAAAAAGAAAATGTATTCCATCCATAAAATCTAGCTTCAGGCTGGGGAAATGGATCAGTGGATAAAGGGCTTGATATACAAGCAACAGGACCTTGAGTTCAAGTCCCAGACCCCAGGTGAAAACAGTCTGACACGGTGATGTATACTTGTAATCCCAGCACTAGGGAGTCTCAGACAAGAGGATCCTGATGGTTCACTGGCCAGCCAGCCTAGCCCAACTGCAGAGTTCCAGCCCAGTGAGAGACCTTGTCTCAAAAAAAAAAAAAGAGGAGGGAGGAGGATGGGGCCTGAGGAACGACACCTGAGATTATTCTCTGACCTCCACACACCCCAAAAAAGAAAAAGAAAAACTTGACTACTAACAATGGTTTCCTAACAACAGCAGTGTTTTGGAATCTAAAATTCTTCATCTCAACTTGGATGCTGCTGGGAATCCCCTTCCTCCCTTGAGGCTGGTGACTAAGCCCGTTCGTGCCCTTAAGGGAGAAGGGAGTAGCCAGTAAACCTGGTAGAAAGTGAAAAATCTCCTTTCCTTCCCAACTTAAAGCAAACAAAGAAACAGCTGCCCAGTGCCTGGTAAGCCAGCCAGTCTCAGTTCAGCCAGAGAGCAGCCGAGATTCCTGTTTGGACCACAGCCTCCAAAGTTGCCCAGGGCTGTGGAACCCACCGGAGAGTGTGTTCCCTCTGACTTCCTCCTCTTTCTCTCAGCTTCTCAGCCTGGTCAGGACAAGGGGGTCCCTGGGCATCTGCATGGGGATGGGAGATTGGGGGTGTCCTGGGTTTACACAAGCAGTAAGAGAGTTTGCAAAGATATTGGGCAGGTAGAGAGGGCCACACAGAACCAGTGCCACTGGACAGAGCTCCGTCTCCTCAAATATATCCTGAGGGCAGAATCCAACTCAGGCTCCACAGCAACTGCACCACACAATGTCCATCACACGCAGCAGGATTTATAACTGAAATTAGAAACAACTGAATGCTGAGTGGCAATATTGCTTAATAGGCACTGATACAGCTCTATGAGGTAATGCCCCGAGGCCACTAAATCATACACTGGTGTAATAGTTATTGACATTCTGGAGAATTGCTAAGTGGTGAAAGAATGTCCCCGAACTGGACAACTAGACTCTTGTGCAATGCCGGCCCTGGGGATCCAGGAGAAGGAGACGTCACTGAGGTGACCTTTGAGGCAGGCTTTGCAGTATCCCCCTCCACACACACACTTTTTTTTACTTCCAACTGTATAGCTGGTGAGTTCACATTTGTAACTGTATTTTAAAATTTTAAATAAATGAATGTATGTCTGACAGTGTTGTATTCAAGTGCTGACACAGCGACTTTGGAAGTTACAGTATGTGTGCCTGTGAGTCATTTCCCTGTTTCAGATGGCTGCACGCTGAGTGGGAGGAAAGAGACAATGTCTGGGGTTGTGCTGATGGCTGGGAATGTGATGCTGAGACTCAGGCACCAGATGATGGAGGCGAGCGTCATCCACACTCAGGCAGAGGAAAGAGTGTCTGGTCCTGTCTCTGTCTTCCCCGATGCCTGTGGGCCCAGTCCTGGCCCAGCCTCACTCTGCACACCCCAGAGCCCTGGTTGCTGGGACTATCACACCTGACTCGAGCAGCCCAGCCTGTGGTGAAGTGTCACTGACTAAGCCATCTTAAAACTCACTTCAAACATCGTGGGGAAAGCTATGCTGCCCACACCTGGGAGCAGGCAGCTTTGAGTTGTCCGAGGGGATGCCCCTGAACGCAGAACCCGGGAGACTGGAGCGCTCATAAGCAGCACTCAAAGAGGAAGGAAACCACAGTGGCCCCATGGGGTGCGCCCATACCAAGCCTTGACACCAGCACAGCCCTCCCTAAGGGGAACCCCAGTGTCCTTGAGGCAGGGTAAAGACAGATGGGGGGAATGATACTGGTGTGGGAAAGAAAAGCACCTCCTCATCCCAGCACCAATTTTCCTTTTCTGTTCGTAAAGGCAGGAGACCTCAGAAACCACAAATAAAGCCCAAATTGCCTACGAGACAATGTGTGTTTTCCTACAGACATCTCAGAGATGCCTAAGACGATGAACAAACCATACTGCTTACTTAGGAACAACACGATCTACAGCCTTGAGCGGTTTTCAGCACCCCCTCATTCCTAACCCTAACCAACACCCACTGAAACCCACCTTACATACAACTTTGTTTACAGAAGAAAGTTTTTTAACCTTTAAGCCTTATTGTGTATTACTTTCTGAGCAATGTGATCTGAGCACCACCAAAATCATATACATAGGGGCTGGAGAGATGGCTCAGTGACTGGGAGCACTGGTTGCTCTTGCAGAGCAGAGGATCAGTGTTCTGTTCCCAGCACCCACATGGTGGCTAACAGCCATCTGTAACTCTGGTTCCAGGGGATCTGACGTCCTTTGCCAGCCTCCATGGGCATTACATGCACCCATGCATTTACATACATGTAGGCAAAATACTCATACGCATATAATAAAAATAAATTTAAAAATTTAAATATAACAGCAATTTTTAAATAAAAGTTTTAAGAAAGAAAATGTGTGTTATATATGAAGACACGCTACAGCTAGATCGGGGTAGGACAGAATTTAACTCCTGAGAATTCCATCAGGAAACCAGTGTTTGCTGATATTTTTTAAAATAAATGAATAAAAATTGTTTAGACTCATACGCATGCCCATCGTGAAGGATTTAATTGCCACTCTCCCTTGAGATGCCCATGTCCACGCCCACACTTGGGCATGTCTTATCTCTCCTGAGCACCACCTTTTTGTCCTGAACCTTCCTGGCTGAAATCTATAATCTCCTTTAATAAATTTCCAACTCTTTTTCCTATTGACTCACCCTGAAATTCCTTTCTGGGTTGAAGCCACAAATTCTGGTTTTGCTGAGCTGAATGGAGGGTCTTAACCCTTCAGGCTACTGAGGGTGACAGGGGAGCCTCTGTTCCTGTCGCCGCTGACCTCCACGGTGCTCTGAAATGTCCTTCCTGCTACCTTCACAGGGGACACTACCCTCAGGTGGCACAGGCTTTCTTATAGCAGGGTGCACTGGGCAGACTGAAAACGGTCCTTGCTGGGGACAGAAGGGAGGGATAGGGAACTCTGGTATTCCACATTAGAGAAAGGAATCTACACAGATGCATTATTAATAGCTTAACAGGAAAGAACTGCTAATGGCATTTTTGTTCTCCATTATCTCCGACCCCATCTCCAGCCCAGATGCTCTTGGAGGAGTACAAAGTTGATACCAGCAGACACTGACTTGACTCAGCATTTCAGGAAATGCCCGATGGGCCAGGTGTGGTGATGCACGCCTCTAATCCCAGAACTCAGGAGGCAGAAGCAGGCCGGTCTCTGTGAGATCAAGCCTGATAGACCAGCAAGACGGCTCATTGGTTAAAGGGTAAAGGCACTTGTCACCAAGCCTGACAACCTGAGTTTGATCCTGGGGACCCACATGGTGGAAGGAGAGAGTGAATTCCCACAAGGTGTCCTTTGACCTACAAATATACACACACACACACACACACACACACACACACACACACACGACCCACACACACACACACACACACACACACACACACACACACACACACACACACACGTGACACACATACAACCCAAAAACACACATACAAACAGATAAATAAATAAATGTAATTTAAAACCATTTCTAAAGAAAACAAAGGAAGTGTCTGAGCCCAAACGTCCACAGAATGAGGAAAGACTTAAAGGGGTGACAAAGAGAGAGGCACAGACCCGCATCCAGGCACAAGGCTGATCACCCGAGCAAAGGGCAGGGCCGAGCTCCATTATGATTGGCTGCCTCTCTGTGTATCATACACAGCCTGCTGGCTGGAGAGGAGACAGAAGGCAGTTTTCTAGGGTTGTAACTCACAGCCTTCCCAGGTCACTGGCTCTCTGAATAAAGCTCAGCTTAAAGCTCCCACTTCAGCTTCTAATGCTTGGTGGTGACAGGGAGCATGGGCTCCTGTATTCAAATTACAATCTGAATGGGAGGTAACAGCCTGGGCTGCATCCCAGCCTGCCCCCAGCTGCACTGTCTCAGTCAGGACACTGGCCTCTCCTGCACTGTGTCCCTGTGGGCAGAGCCAGCCAGGGTGCGCCTGTCCTCGATGACCCTGGGAAGATCTGTCACGACACATAAGAGTGCAATGTTCCTCCTTCCCTCCTCTGCACTACTAGAGATCCTCTCTGGGCACATCCTCCTGTTATTATATTGGCCCTTCTAAGAGCTAAGTGATCGTGTCTGTCCTACCCTTCAGGGCCGCTCTCCCTCACTCCCTTACCACTGCCCTGCCCTGCCGCACCAAGGCAGGACTTCCCCAGAGTGGGCCCAGGTTTCCATCCAAGCCTGAGGGCCCTAACTAGGGCTCTAACTATAGGTCAGCCAGTCCTTAACCACCCTATTAAAGGTGCTAATACTCTAAAAGTAGGGGCCATGTCACAACAGGTATTTCCCCAGACAGGGTCTGTTGAAAGGAGTGAGGCTGAGAGGTGGGCAGCTGGCGGGGAGGGGACCCAGCCTCAACTTCTCTTCAGTGCAGCAGGTAAGGTGGGCTGGGATGCTGTAGCTAGAAAAGCTGGTTTCAGCCTCCCCAGAGCCTCCTCCCCAACCTTCAGTCGTGTGACGCCCCCTCTGGCCTGGAGACCAGCCAACACGTAGGAGGAAGTGTGGCTGACATAAGAAAATGGTGGTGGGCCAGGCCACAGTCAGACTTCTATTAGCTCACCTCAGAGCCCACCCGCTCTGAACCACAGAGCCACGGGCCTCCTCAGGGCCACACTGACACCAAATAGAAGCTACCAGTTCACCCAGGAAGAGGGGTGACCATAACAGTAGTGCACCTGGCCAGGCTTTGGTGCCTGTGAGCCTTGGGGTGGGAACTTGGAAGGTGGGAAGGGAGCAGGTGTCAGGTCAGGAAGGACCAGAACTTGGCAGGATGGCCAGGGACAATCTGCCCCTTCCAGTATCCCTGTGGGGAACACAGAATGACTGCTGGCCCTGAGGTGGGCTGGCCCTAACCGGTTCCTACTGGGGACGTTGGCATTCTTTAACCTCCTGGTTATCAGGTCTACACCTGTTAAACTGCCCACACCAGCACCTTGCCTGACCCCTGGAACAGAGCAGTGGGAAGAGTCAACCATGCCATCTTTGCTCACATCACACTGGAGTGGAGCTTGAGAGTGAATACAATTGGGAGGGCTCTGCAAGCTGAGCTCAAGTTGCCTTCCAGGGGACTGTGCTGACCTGAAGCTCTACAGCCTACATGCAACCCCCAGTCTGGGGAGGAGAGAGACCCCTTGGTTTGGAGGGTCTAACCACAGCCTTAACCTGCTGGTGACTTGACCCTGGGCCTCAGGGATGATGGGTCATGTGGGATTCCCCATTGGGGTGCCCAAGGTGGTGCTTTCTTCAGTCTGGGGTGGCGGCCCTTACATCTCACCATGGCCCCTCCTGACACCCTTCCCGACCCATCTCCTCCATTTGGGGTGAGAGGCAGGACCTTCTGACTGTACCAAGTTCCTATCTGATACTGACTCAGAACGAGCAAACACCACCCATGCACACACCCTTTCTCTAGAAGAGTTCATCAGTACATTCCCTTCTCCAAGATAGTAGCTGGGCCCTGGGTGGCCAAACTGATCGCCAGTAGCCAGTCAGGACATCCTACATAACTGCACAGAGGAGGGGCAGAGGACATTGGGGCCTCTGTACAGTGAGGTGGGGAGGCCCAACCCCTCCAGCTCTTTATAGTGGAGTTCAGATCAGGATTTCAACTGAAACAAGGGTTTCACTGTAGGCTTAAAAGAAAAAACAGCTACAACTATCAGAGAGGTTGGGCCACTGGGAGTTAAACTCCATGGTGTGTTAGTCACTCAAGATTTTTAAATTTTTTTTTTATTATTTTTAAATTTATGTGTATGTGTATATTGCCTGCATGTAGGTAAGTGCACCCATGTTGTACATTTCCCTCACATGTAGGGTACTTTTTGCACTTGACTTCTTTCATTGCTTCTGTTTCTTCTTTTCTAAAAAAATTATTTATTATTTTTATTTTATGTGTATGACTGTATTGCCTGCATGCATGTAAGTGTGTCCGTGTTGTGTAACGCCTGTGGTGGTCAGAAGAGGGTGTCGGATCCCCTGGAACTGGAGCTATAGCTAGTTGTTAGCTGCCATGTGGGTGCTGAGAATTGAACCTAGGTCCTCTTCAAGAGCAGCTGGTGCTCTTAACTACTGAGCCATCTCCCAGTCCTAAGCCATTCAAGATTTTAAAGGCGACAGATGTCCATGCTATGCCCAGACCAGTTCCATCACTGACTCTAAGGGTGAGGGGCAGGCGTCGCATGGTCAGTGGTGCCCAGGAGCCCTCACTGTACAGTCAAGTCTGAGGGCTGTTGAGTTTTTCTAGCCCTTAGTGTCTCCCCAGAAGATGAGAGAAAAAGCTAATCTACTTCACTCTGAGCTATGGAACCAGAAATCTGAGAGTGGCCCTCCAGATGGCCTTTATGCTCAATCAAGGCTGAGGAGCAGTGTTCTAGAAAGATCTAGTATGTTCAGGGAGACCTACCAGCCTCCCCCACATCCCCACATTGCCCTGGACTCACGCAGGACGCAGTACAGGCCCAGCTGCTCATAGCCCACACAGCAGTCGGTCACATTCCTGGACTCGGGGACTTCCACCACCAGGTACTGGGTCCGGTACACAGTCTTGGGGCACCGTCTCCATGGGATCCAGCCACCACAGGACACGTAGGTCACGTGGGAGGTCTGTACCGCCTGCAGTTTCTGGACACTTCGAGTCACTGGGTAGCTACACAGCTCGTAGCTCAGCAGGGAAAGGCCGTTTTCTAGAAGGGAGATCCGTAAGGGTGTGCGAGCAAGCCAGAGAAAGAAAAGCACCAGGTCAGATCAACGCGAGATACATCAGAGGCCACCTGCAACAGTGAGTGGGGCCGGGTCCCCCCGCTTGGGCGGGCCTTAGAACCTGCCTTCCAGTCCAAGCCATGGACTTTTTCTTCTACGTATTCTGAGAGCAACCCTGTGTTTGCACAAACTCAAAGCAAGAGCCGTCAACATTGACCTGCATGCTAACACTCCTTCAGTTCAGTCAGCACCTTCCCAGACCAGATTCAGGTATAGCAGCCCGGGGTTCTGATGAACGCGATGCCCAAGTAAGGACACAGAGCTGGAATCAAACATTCAAAGATCATTTTCTGTTGTCACTGTGCTTCTGGTCCCACGGGCTACAGCTTCCCCCGCACAGCAGTCTCCATGACTCTAAGGCCCAGATACAGGCAAGAGTCCCCCAACAAATGCACACTGACGCCAACAGATCAAGAGGACACCTTTTTTGGAGGGGAGGGGAGATGAAATGGAAGATTAGGAACCAAATATTCCAAGTGTAGGCAGGTCACCCCAACTTTTCCTCCAGAATCACCATCACTACAGGAGGATGCAGCCACACCTGCTGAAGGTCCAACCCACTGTAGCTCCCTCCTCTGGCCTGGCCCTCCCTCTCTGAGCCCTGGTGCCATGCAGGCCTCCCAGACTCCCACACTTGTGATGTTTTCCAACCCTGCACCTCTTCCTAAGGGACTGCACCCCAGGGAGCCTGTCACTTTAGGCCACAGAATCTCCTGGGGGTCAAATTGTATCACTCCAAAGCATTTTGGAATTCCAGAGCCCAGGAACTCAGCAAACGACTGGCCCTGAGGAAACAGGACTGATGTGCTTTTGAAGGAAAGTGAGCGCAGGTGTGCGCGTGCACACACGCGTGTGCACACACACACACACACACACACATATGCATACACAGCCATGTGAGGATGAAGGCAAAGATCAGGGTGATCCCTTCTACCAGCTCAGAAACACCATGGATTGCTAAACACATTAAAGCTTCGGGCCTGGAATGGGTCCAGCCCCTAGGGCCTCAGTGGGAGCCAGCCCTGCTGACACCTGGCCTTGGATTCCAGCCCCGAGAGCTTGGGCCAAAACTTTGTGCTATTCAAGTTTCCTTGACTCAGCAATTCTGGAACTCTGATGTGAGGCCCATAGGCATCTCCTCTCAGCCCCCTCAGCAGCTAGCCCAGGCTCTATGCTGGGTAGGGTGGGCAAGTGGCTTAACTTGCCTGCATCTTTGCATACTCAGCCTCGGGCTCCATGATTTCCTGTACTATACAGCCTACAGGCAGGGCCCAATGTCACAGCGTCTTAGAACTCCATGAGGGTTATCATCTGGAGAGGAAGTTGAAGAAAGAGGCCAAAATCATCAAAGGGTAGCAGCTGTCTTTGCCCCCTAGACCATGAAGGTATTAGTCCCTGCCTGGACAGAAGCTCACAAGTGTGTATATGGCAGGACACAGAGTTGCTGACACCTCCAGCTGGAGGAGAAGCTGCAACTTCCCAAGTGAGCCCCTTACCAGCCATAGTGACCCCAGCAGTCACTGCCTTGGGGATGGGGCGGGGGCAGCTGTAGCCCAGCCTCCCAGACCTCTGGGAATAGGGACCACCTGTTGCTCCTCTTCACAACAGGTGATCACAGGGTTGCTCTGGAGGGGAACAGAGGCCCTCTTGACCTGGGTGGTATGACAAGAGGTCAAGAGCTCAGGGGTGACACAGGCAAGGGGCTGCAGGGCTGCAGAGGCAAAACTCAGGGTGTCCTAAGAGAACCTACTGGAGTGGATGCGGTCTTCCAACCTAACCTCAGCTGAGTTGTCAGCATGTTAATGAGGGTCACAGTCACAGTCTCTAGGGAGCCATATGGCTCCATCTGACTGTTACCAGGCTCTAGTCTATTATTAACAGAACACACACACACAGTCTCCAGGGAAGGGATGTGTTTGTCTTGCTTTGTTTTTTACCTTCTACTGAGGCCGCTGTGCTATGTCCAAGCCTACAGAGACAGAGTAGAGACCTGACAGATCTTGCTGTTTAAAACTCCATTCAGAAGCCCTCAGAGTAGAAGACAGAAGAGCTTATCGCTCTAGAATGAGCTAGGATCCTAGCTCAGCCCCTACCCACTTCACAAATGCCCACCCATGGCACGAGGGTTTCCATTGCTCTTCACACCCTGACCAACCCTTCAGCTTACTCCCGCCCTCAGGGGCCCAGTTAACCCCACTGGAGCGGCAGGGATGGAGCAGCCCCAGGGATGTGTTACACCTCTTGGTGCCCCAGCCCTGTCATTTGTAAAATAATCTCTACACCCTGGTAAAGTCAGCACCTGGCACACATTGTAGGCTTTATGGCTTTCACTGGGAGGAGTGAGTGAGCAGGCAGGCCAGACAAAAGCTGTCCTCTGCCTGGTGTCCTCACACACACAGGAAGGGGCTCACTGTCCCCTTCTGGGACCTCTAGGAACTTCCTAATGTTCCCACTCTCCTATGACTAAGCTGTATATTTCATATCTAGTGCAAAGCAAAATTCCAATTAAAGTAAAATCCTCTGGGTGATTAAAAAAACATGGCATTGGTACAAAAATGGAGATGACTTCCGAAAACAGGGAAGGAATGCTGAATTCCTAAGCAAGAGAGACAGACTTTCAGAGGAAAATGACTCCAAAGTTTTGGGATCACAGCTCCTTGATTTTAGACATCCCAAGTTTTGTTGTTTTGGTTTGGTTTGGTGTGGGCAGTGCTGGGGATGGAAGCCAGGGCTCACACATACTTGGTAGCCCTCAGCTGCACCCCACAAAGTATTTGGAGCCACTTTGTGAACCCATATACCTACTAAGGCTTTGATCAGCACCATCGCTGTGCCCATCACTCAGTGACAGTAATTCTGCACTTGGGAACATGTGGCTGAGGTTAAGTCCTAGCTGCCCTGCCCCCCTTCCCTGATCTGTAAGTAAGAACTTTAATACACAGAGGTTCAGGACATCCTTATGCTTGGTCTCTAGGACATTGTTTTCACTGTGGATCAAGGGCCTGCTATATCCACAAACCCAACAGAAATGTAGAGCCTCGGGTACCACCCCAATACTACTGGTGGGAAATCTGCATCTTCATCCCATGGACCCCTAAGGATCTGAGGCACACTCCCATTGGAGAAGCCCTGTTTCTGGAAGTTTATCCAGTGCTTCTGCCCACCTCCCACCTCTGTAGCCTGTTGCTGCCTGTGGCCTGTTGCTGCCTGTGGCAAGCCCAGACAAGAAGCCCATCTCAGAGCAGACACATTCCAGCAGACAGAATCCTCCTGAGACTCACTCCTGGAAGCCCCTCCTCCAGATTCATCCCCAGATTCCTCACCTGTAAAGCCATTGGCTTGGCTCAGGCCCACCGTGCAGGCCAAAGCCAGCAAGACCAGCCCCAGGGTCCTGGACATCATCCTGTGGTGATGGTGGTGGTGCAGACAGGACTTGGGACCTCCACCACAGCAGCCTGATCCTATGCTGGGCACAGAGATACTGAGATGCCCAGCCCTGAGAAAGGGCCTGCCTGTTGCTGGTGGCAATGGCTTCAGAGGGAGCACTCACTGGGAGCCGTCCCTTATGCCTGCTCATTAACTGCCATGGCTGTTTCCCTCGGGGCACCTGCATGTCATAGCCTATTCTTGCTCCAAGCAGATGGCATCTTTTAGGAAAGATGAGTAGTCAACAGCCCCGGCCACATCACTGGATCCATCTCGTTTGTACGTAGAAAATGCATTTCAGACCCACATCTGGCCCCTCCCCTCCCCACAACACAAAGTATTCCCTTACTTTGCTGTCCCCAGCTGGCAGGAGAAGACAGGCCCACATCAAAGTGTCACCTCACACCGCTCAACAATAGAGTTCAGAGGTCACAGCCCTGTTGGCCAGCTCCACGCAGCACCTCCCCCGGGGCCTGGAGAAGCTGTGTTCACAGAGGCACTCTGTGCTAGTCAAGATTCATAATGGAAATTGTACAATAAACAGTCAGAGGTGAGCAGGAAAGACAGACTTCAGAGTGCCTGAACGTCCCGATAAAATGCTCAAAGACATCTTAGGAGGGCTGCATGGAACTCAGCCCTGTGAAGTCAAAACAAAAACTCATTCAATCCCTACTGCATAAAGATGTCAGCTCCGTGGGGTCACACAGATGCACACACATCCAGGAAGGGACAGCAGGAGGACTGGTACTGGAGTTTGTTTCTCAGTGGCTGTCATGCTATGTGAGAGATGGAGCTTTAAATTTTCTGTCTGGATTAGGATGTGGCTCAGGTGGTAAAGTGCTCACTCCGCATTCATGAGGACCTGGGTTCAATCCCTAGCACCTAGCACTACATAAGCCAGGTGTTGGAGCACACGCCTGTAATCCCAGCACTTGGGAGGTAGAGGCTATTGTCTGCTACACAGGAAGTCAAGATTACATGAGACCCTGTTCCAGAGAGAGAGAGAGAGAGAGAGAGAGAGAGAGAGAGAGAGAGAGAGAGGAAAGGTCTCCTGAGCGCCACTGAGAAACGTCAGATAGGCCGCTATCGAGCTCAGAATTCCCTGCCCTGTAAAGTGCAAAGTGGATTTCTCCAGGGGCCTGCGCTAGTGTTGAACACAGGCTACTCCATCCCTGTCCCCTTCGATTAATCTCCTGGGTGATGGTTGCTATGTTGGGACGCTAAAGGGACGATGCCATCAGAAGAAATCCAGAAACCGGAGAAACCACTGGTTGAAACTGCACGTTCCTGAAAACATAAGCTTCAGGAGGGTTGGCCCATCTGCTGTGCTGTGACACAGTATTTTAAGAGTTTTTAATAAGAATAGATTTATTTTTTATTATGTTTTATTTTATGTGTGTGGGTGTTTTGCCTGCATGTATGTA